TAGACCGAACTCCTTATAACATCCCACAAAATACTGTAGCTGGAGGTGCCACATCTGTCCATCCATTACTTTAAGATTGAATAACTTTTCCCACTTTTGGCTACTCTGAGTAGGGGTTGCAACAGCCAATCATCTGTTTCCACCTCTCTGGCAAACTGGGCCCCAGTGGCTGGGGAGCAGTCTTGTTCAAGGGCACTTCAACTTGTAGACAGGATGAGATCAAACTGCCAACCCTGTGATAAGTAGATGACCCACTCTACCAACTGAGCCACAGCTGCCCTACCTTACAAGTGACACCTGTCATTATAGATTGAGATACTGAGATATCAGATGATGATTTTTTTCCTTGGGTCTCTGAGGGGATTAATCCAGACTAGGTGTTTCAACTGTTTTACAAAAGTTATAAAAAATAAAATAAAAACATTACAGTTGGCTAACAGAACCAAATCATAGCTAGCGTTTTAATATATTAGAATGATAGGCAAAAACATTTCCCAAATTCCACTGAAAGGCAACGTGGCTCTACAGATAAGAGGCTGGAGTGAAGCCAAGTCTGGATGGCTCGCTGTAGGCCTCAGTAACAACAGACAGAGTGATAACAGCTGAAAATGACCTCCCTGCTCAAACATGACTTAGTTGGTTCCTCAGACATTGACATTTTGTACAGTAGTTGTCACATGGACTCTATTGGTAAATACTATCCCTAGCAGAGACATTTTGCATTTTTATGCTGTTATGCTCTTTACTCTTGGCCTTATTTAATATATTAATGTTTCTTAGAGATAAATCAAATAAGTATATTTTGTTTAGATGAAAATACTTTTATTATGGCATTGTCATTAGGTTCAGGTGTTGGCAGAACAATCAGAACACATATACCTTTACATGCAAGTCCCTACACTCGAAATAAGTTACCTGCAGTGCTTGACAGTATCACTTATAAAAATGTAAATTAACTACTGAAACTGTTAGGTTTGACATGTAATTGATCCAGATCAGGTTCTGTCTGTCCTTTTAAAGGTTATTAGTCACACAGCACTGGTCTCACTTTAATGGTACTTAGAAGAAGGATGCATGTTTGCACTGTGTTTAGTATGTTCCTACCTGTGATGACATCACACTGATTAGATTGCAGTTTTGATTTGGTTGAACTTGGATGAATTTCTGTAAATTATATATTATTATTTATTTTATATTGATATTATAGGCAAATACGTTTAACCACACAAGACAATATCACATTTCAAATGCCAATTGTGAATATTAAAGAAAATGTGAGTGACAGGATTTTATGTACTCACATAAAAATAAAAGTCAAACAGTTTCCTGTGGCTACCTGCTCACTGGACACTATCTGATTTATTGTGATGCAGGTACACCCGCCCACCCTGTGCACCAATCAGGTTCAAGATTTTCTTGCCCATGCTTTCTGGCCAAAGACACATTTACAACTGTAAACAGACACTTCTATTTATGACAGACTCCAAGCTGTAGCATGTGCTATCATTGAATTGAATCAAATCATTATTCATGCAACAAAAATATTCTTTTAGTTTTACAATGCACAATTGCAAACGTCCAGATGTGGGTTCTAAGGTCCAGTGTCTAACATCTAGGAGGATCTATTGGCAGGAATGGAATATAATACTCATATGTAGATTTTCAGTGTATAATCACCTAAAAATAAGAAACGTTTTTTTTTCCCCTTAAAATTTGCTGTTTGAGTGGGTCTTCAGGTTTCTTGTAGCCCAGAATGGACATACCAAACACTAGCTCTAGATAGGGAGATTCGCAGCTACCGTAGTTTCTCCTACACACAAGGTTGAGCTGTATTCAAGCGGTCGCAATCTGCAATTTCACCGCTGCCAGTAAATCCTATTCACTGGTCCTTTAATCTAGCCTGCATGTAATAGCAAAAATGCTATAAACATAGAAATTGAAATGAATAGATGTAAAATAGGTTGAGTAAGCAAAGAAACCAGTTAAACACACAGTGTTTTGTTTTATATTTCTGTTCACATTTTTGGTTTGTGATATCAATCTGAAATGTTTTTTGAGAGGAAGCTTATCATTTTATCAACTATTCCTGTAAGATTTTTTTCACATTATCCAAAGAGTTTTGACACATCTTTAAAAGCCTTCATCTGGGACTGTATATAGAGTCTGCCACAGAGCGAAGTCAGAGGGAACATACAGTGTACAATGTGTGCCTGAATGAGGCCCTGCCCTATTTTCCATGCATGGAATGTGTAGATATACAGCTTATGTAATATTGTCACCTTTTTTTTCGTGTTTTAGTCTTTTTTTTAATGTGCAACACATTAACCATTATCTGAGATCTACTGTATGACAAACAGCTGAGCCCCCCCCCACAACTATGTGT